CCTAAGAAGGATGGAAAAATATTTAAGACACGCGGAATCTTGACGAGATAAGCAAAAGGCACTCATGCATCCGATTAAGACTTTGTAAAACGAGAAATACATATTGGGCTCACGAAGGTGGACGACGGGATGCACGAAGATTCCATGAAAGCATCTTCACAACGCACCGCTTCATAGACCCATTGAGCAAGAGGCTTCTTCCTAAAACTTGAGCTGTGTGTTCGAATGGTGCGATGAAGAGCTCTTGAGTCCGTTATCCCACTCTTTCCAACATAAAGGTCCTTACATGAGTTTGTTTGCCATTTGCTGCCTTTGCGCCATAGAGCGCTTCCGTTTAGCTTCCCTTTTGACCTTAGGGCGCCCTTCCTCCTGCGATATTTGTCGAAGTGAGATTTTCCTATTGAGGGCCCTTCTACCTCATCTATCCAACCAGCCCCCCGATTCACCCTACCTCGGAGTCTACGTAGGCCTCGTCCATTTCTTCTCCAGCATTTTCCACATAGTTATCGGCTTCAAGGGCCTCTAGCCGTGCGTCCCGAACCTCTCTCCGTGTTTCTTCGTCCACAACCTGCATGGCCTTGCTCAGTACCGCTTGTCGACCTGATGAACGCTTAGCTCCCTTTTTCTTGGTCTGCTTTATGCCGGCGCCGGCCAGTCCCATGGCTTCATCCCATGCCGACCTTTTATTTGTCGACATGATCAAGGGACGATTTTCGCCTGCCTTCAATAAGATAGGAAAGCAGAAGTCGATTTTCAAGGAGTCGGCAGTGTATGTTCAAGCTGTGATGACCGCGACGTCCTTCTCTTCTTCTAGACCTGTGGGAACGAAGAAATCAGCGGGACAAAATTTACATTTGGATTGAAAATGTCAGGGTAGAGTAAATGGTAGTCTATAAGTTTTAAAGAATGTTTGTCGAGACTTGGTCTGATATGTATTACTTCGCAAGATGGTGGCCTGGGAAGAAGTGCGATACTCCGCAGCAACTGTACGGCGATTCCTCTAGAACAAGAAAAGTACGACAAATCCCGGAGCACATAACAACAGAATCATTTTTGGGCTCTGGAACACACAGACGTTCATTAAAGCAATACTACACGCCGAAACCTTAATTTGTAACTTACGTGCACTGCGAGCTGTCTATTTATTCCCTCACGTTCACACAGGCCGCTTCACCCTGGGAGGCCGAACGCATCCCTTTTTCGTTGACGTTTCAAGTAGGAAAGAGCATTCGGCAAGTCTGCGCGACAGGTTTCCATCGAAAATGCGCACACAAATTGCGGACGGAGAGCCTTTCCCTTACTCTTTCCCCTCTCCATCACGCAAACGGCAAATTCCACACGAGGACCGGGATATTCTAGAGATCAAGCGACGTATGGGCGGTCTGCGCTTCGGGGAAGAATTACCCGACCTTGGCAGCAGTTTACAACCTCCAATAGATGATAACCTGACCCCTCTACATGGAAGTCCCGACTCTGTCTTTGGCTCGAGTGGTGGGCCTGGCGTGCCCCCCCCCGTCCCCGGCCCCAATGGTGCTGGAAAGTCGACGGCGCCCCATGGATTTCCTCAGACCCCGTCCATCGATGAAGGCGCTACAGAGATGGACAGTGAAGAGAGCGAGGGGGATGACGAAGTGGCGGGTGTGTTGAACGGGAGATCAGACACCAGGAGTAGGTTTTCTGGACATGAAAAGGACCTGGCAAAGGACGCGTTTCGCAGGGGCACGCAGGACGTTTCTCGCATCGACGAGGATGATCCGCGTGCCACCATGCTGAATATCTTGTACAAGCGACGTCCACCACGGGACAAGGTGGAGGAAAAAATCGAGAACCTAATTCGTCGCTCGATGCTGCGCGCCACGCCTGGTGGTCCCGCGGCCCCTCCGCTCTCTCTATGCGACGCCCCGTGGCCGGTGACAGAGTCGCAGCGCATGGACGGAAGCGGGAGCAGCGCGTCATCGCATTTCCTTCCAAAGAATGATGACGGTGGCGGCGATATGGACATGTGAAAGGAAACGGGCAACCAGGTGGTACTCGGCAGGTGGACCTTCCACAGGCGAACTCGTTTTTTCTTCTTTAACTAGATCACAAAAGGAATGAGCGCCTTGCGACTCGGTGGGTATTTATGCCCAAAGTATTGCCTGTACCATAGGTGATGGTGCCAGGCACGAGGGGCCAAATTGAGCACGGTGAAGGCGGCGAATGTCACACTCGCGAGGCTCCCGCCACAGGCGATAGCGAAGCCGGTCCACTCCACCATCTCGCCCAAGAAATTGGCGGCTGAAACATACTCGAAGAGGCCACCCCGGGGGATGGAATAAGGGCGTGCAGCGAGTTGGAAGTCCTCGGGCTTTGGGAAGGAGGCTCCGTGGGAGGCCATGGGCCGCGTCCGCGAGTTTGGAGCTTCCTTGTCGGTCCCGCGCGGCATGCCATCTCTCAATTGACGCAAGATATGATCTGAATCAAGATTGATGTAGAAGCCGAGAAAAAAGATGCCGAGTCCCGCGATGAAGGTCGGGTGGGAGAGCCAGTGGCCTGGGAAAACGTGGAGCCTGGAGAGAGAGCGGGCCTGCAGGTAGCTGTTGAGGGAGCAGAAGGTCCAGGCCATGAGCATTACGCTCAAGGGCATGGGCCTGCTGGGGGCCATTCGGAGGGGGTAAAGGAAAGCGCGGTTCACATAGTGCAGGAGGAAGAGGCTCACTAGGGCCCGGTTGGCGACGCTCCTGGTCGCAGCCTTGTCGCCCCACAGCCAGAGAGCCGCTGTGACGAATACGTTAGGACTCTCCATTAGAAACCAAGCAAGCTTGGCGTTGACGAGCGGTCCCCATCCGCGGGCCTCAGAGTACCGGCCGTATGGAGCTGGGCGCATCATGAGGATAAATGCAGTACCAAAGCCCGAGGCCAGCATGACGAGGGCCAGGCAAGAGTGAAACAGTGCTTCATCCGCAATACTCATTGCGAGCCTTCGTTCCTGTACACTGAAACATACGATATTTCGTTCAAAATGTATATCATGATATCATTTGGCTCGCTAAAAGGTATGAAGATGCATTACAAGGCATGGCAGCTTCAGGAATACTTCCGTTCCCGAACCGCGCGACTCGTGTGCCATGTAATGTACGAGTGCTTTTAAACAAATGAATTGGTTCACGAAACAGCTTGCTCCATTTTTTCCCTCACAAACACAACAAAACCTCTCAAAATATCTTCACGTGAGAGGAAAAGAAGAGTGAACTCATTGTAGATTGTCTTTGTGAAGTGATTCCATAATTGTTGCTGCTGGGCCCATTCCTTTTTGTTGGTACGAAGCTCTCCCACAAAGTTGCAAGACAGCAAAGTCTCTCATAATCAGTGCTTGTCTTGTGCCGGAGAGTCTCACATTGAAAAACTGTCATATTTCGTATAACGCGATGCTTGCGGGTTTGGAGCGTCATTCTGTGTCGTGACCTGGACGCGCCACTTGCTCGGAATTCCGGCTTGAGATCGAGACAAGTCGCCATCAACAGGCGCAGTTATTCTACAACCCATGCACCATGTCCAACTGAGACCTTGGCAACTAAACATGTGAAAATATCCCACGTCCTTCCCGTTCATGGAATCGGAGTGGCGGAATCACGGGGTAGGCAGATCGTTCTTGACCACCGGGGGAGGGCGGCAGTGAGAAGGAAGCCGTCGCTCGAGAAGAAGCTTGCCGTCTTCCGCTCTCTCGCCCCGGTCGTGCTGCTTTCTTGGTTTGCCTTGGTGAGATCTCTTTCACTCGCTCATCGCATCTTCTTAACAATTACAGCTCTACTTGACCCCTTTCGACTGAGGGCGCTCCTTTAGTCATGGCAAGTCGGTACGTATTTAATGAAGAAGACGACGAATTCTAGCGATAGGCCTCCATTTGCTCCCTGCGTCCCGCAATGCCCTTTTCTCTGGGCAATTTGGTCACAATCTTTCCGACATCGATGTATATTCATATTCATATTCATAATATGTATGATATTCATGTTACGAGGGAGGACCTTCTTACTCTGTGACCGCAGTGAGATTCCAGGATATTATGATCCTATCAGGCCGCTCTGCATTATCTAGGACCTGGCCGTTTTTTTTCCTCCATTTGTACAGATGTATTTTGTTCACTCTCATGAACCATTATTCCCTTTTGAACATTTCCGAACACAGGTATGACCGTGCAATTACTGTTTTCTCGCCGGATGGGCACTTGTTTCAAGTGGAGTATGCCATAGAAGCTGTCAAACGAGGGTCGTCTGCAGTCGGCGTACGGGGGAAGAGTTCTGTTATTCTGGGGGTGGAGCGTCGCGCAACAGCGAAATTGCATGATCCTCGTACCATAAAGAAGATTTGTAAGATTGATGAGCATGTGACGCTGGCGTTTGCGGGGCTGACGGCGGATGCGCGCGTGCTCGTGAATAAGGCCCGCCTGGAGTGTCAGAGCTACCGGCTCACGTACGAGGACGCGCCCACAGTAGAGTATGTGGCGCGATACATTGCACGCACCCAGCAGAAGTACACACAACGGGGGGGAGTGCGGCCATTCGGCGTCTCGTGTGTCATCGCAGGGACCAACCCCGACGGCAGTGCCGTGCTTTATCAGACCGATCCTGCTGGCACCTATTCGGCGTGGAAGGCGACAGCCGTGGGCGGCCGAAACTCTTCCAACATGCAAGAGTATCTTGAAAAGCAGTGGGCGGATGACCTGGAGGAAGAAAATGCCATCCGCTTGACGGTCAAGACACTGCTGGAGGTGGTGGACTCCGGGGCCAAGAACATGGAGGTTGCCGTCATCACGCAGGGTCGGCCCATGCGTATGCTGGACGAGGCCACGCTGGCAGCACTCTCCGCCTCCATCGAAGCGGAACAGGAGGAAGCAAAGAAGAAAGCGAGTGCGGGATCAGGGGAGAGTAAAGAAAGCTAGGCAAGAGAAAGGGGTTCAACGGCACGTATACGAGGAGGGACCGGCAGGCTTAAGATGAAAAGAAAAATGCAAGCTGCGCGCATGTGCTTTCGTACTTGTATCTTGTCTTATCGATTTTTCAATCTTCCGTTTGTGCTCTTTGTACACTTGAAATGGAGGTTTTCCCGTCAAACGTCTCGCCCCTCAAGGAGGGGTCTGGGAGGCAGAGGAGGCTTGCCTCGCGAGAAGGTCCAAGACCAATCCGTAAGTAACTTGGTAGGGACTGAGATCTTCCTCGTTCTCCGCCACCTCTCTTCGCGGCAAGACTTTCCCGCCATTTCTGTGGCATGGCTCCGCCGCGCGCTTCCCGAGGCGGCCCCGTGCCCGGCGTCGGAGGTCGAGGAGTTCGAGGAGCTTTAAGGCCGTCCGCGTTTCCCCCCCTACCCGACACGCGTTGATAGCCGATGACAGGTCAACCGTACTCGGCTCCAGTCCTCGCTTCTCACGCATGTGCAGGAGCATTTCCAATGCGTCTCGCCAGCGCCCTTCCTTCGCAGCGGCGTTCAAGAGCACGCTGTAGGACATGGCGGGGACCGGGACGTGGCCCTCCACTGTCTCCGCATCCTTGATGGTGCGCCAAGCGTCCTCCCAGTACCCTTGCTCCAGCATTGTCCGCACACGCACCCCAAAACTTCGCTCGTCCTCCTGCATCCCCTCGGCCTGGCCCGGGCAATCGACCTGCGCCAAGGCGTTGGCCTCCAGGCGGGAGGCGAGCCGGCCGGCGTTCTCCACGTCACCCGCTTTCAGGCACGCGTCCACGAGACAGGTCAACGCCACGTGGTCCGGCGTCACGCCTGCCTTTGTCTCCATCTCCTCCAACAAGGCCAGCGCGCCCGCAAGCTCCCCCGCTCGGCCCATGCCGGACAAGACGCTGGTGAACATGATCACGTTGGGCGCCGACACCTGCCGCAAAAAAGCGAGAGCTTCCTTTAGCTGCCCCTGCTGACACAGACCTTCGATGACGACGCCTATCCCGGCCTCGTAAGGCTCCACTCCGCGGCCCTGGAGCTCGTCGAATATGGCCTTGACGAGCTCCCACTTTTTCTGCTTCCCAGCCACGCTCAGGGCGATGTCCCCCGTGCCCGCGTCAGGAGCCAATCCTCGGACGAGAAGGAGATCCCAGAGGGCCAGCACCTCCTCTGTCTGACCTGCCCTGACTAGTGCCCGCATGGTGGTCGTGTAACAGGGCAGGGTCCACGGGGCGTCGCAGGATGGCGGGGCGGGGCCCTCCAGGAGCATCGCGTAGGCGCGGCGCCACTGTGCGTCTTGACAACAGGCAAAGAGGGCCCACCGATGGCACTTCTCATCTGGTCGGACCCCACCGCGCGTCCGCATGTCTCGTAGGAGCGCCAGCGCCTGCTCGCTCTCCCCTGCTTTGGCACAGGCCCTCATCGCCGCCACATAATGCTGACGCCCGACCCGGAGCTGCCGCCGGACGAACGTGCCTCGAACGTTCTTGTATTCCACTTCCCGACCCATCTCCTCGATTAAATGCAGCGCCCGTCTCCAGTCGCCCAGGTCGGCCGCGGCCTCCAGCGCCGCCCCGTAGCACCCGCCGTCCGGAATGACCCCTGACGCCAGCCCCCGAGCCTGTCGAAGCGCTCCAAGGCTTCGGCTGGGCGGCCCAGGTCCGTGAGGGCCCGGATCGTGGCGGCCAGGACCAAGTGTGACCCTCGAGGTGCCGGCCTCCCAGGAGCCTCGGCCATCCCGCACGCCTTCAGGTCCTCCAGGAGGGCCAAGGCCTCGGAGGCGCGCCCGGACCGGCGGTAGGTCTCCATCATGGCGGCGTAGCAGGCTGCGTCTGGGGCCGGCTCCCCGTTCACCCCCATCTCTGAAAAAAACGCCACCGCATCCTCTGGTCGACCGCCCTTGCTGCAGGCCACGATGATGGCGACGTAACACGGCGGACCCCAAGCTCGGACGGGCCCTCTCTTCCTCCTTGCCAGCCGACGGAAGACACTGACAGCCTCGTCCGTCAGACCCTCGGCCGCACATGCATAGATTGTGGACACGCAATCTATCTCTCGAAGTTGATAATCGTTTACCATGCCTAGATACCTGAGTGCTCGTCTACCGTCGCCAATAGAGCGGCATTCTTTGAGCGCGGCCGTGAGGAGCCCTTCGTCGTCACCCACCCCAAGATTGGTTAATCGATCCTCCTCCAGAGCGTTTTCCAGAAGATCGATCGCAGGGGTTGTTCCTACGCGCCTTAACGACCATTCAACGAGGGGTGATGTAGATTTGCCCTTCCCATGTGGCGGCTGTTGTGCGTGCGGCAGGAGGGTTGTAGGAGATGGATGGGGCATCCGACTCTGACCTGTCTTCTCTCTGGATTCATGGCGGTATGGGTTGGAAAAACGTAAAGCGGATATTGAACAGAGATGCGGTGGTGCTGGACGAGTGGCGAGGAAGGGGATGAATCTGAAGGCATAGGTTGTCGTCCTTCTTGAGAGCGCCCCAACGGTGAGGAGGGAAAGAAGGAGGCGCATGCTGGTTGTTTGGTCGTCAATGGGCAACAAAAACAGGAGCCTCTGTTCCTGGCAACATAATTTTCCGCTGCATGTCAATGAATGCCTGTACTACTTGTGTTATGCGGTAATATAGAGTGCTTGAGCAGTCGTAGAGGCAGAGAGCGTAGGGCAGGCGAGGTAGAGTCGCAATTAGCCGCGCGTTCTCGAGTTAAACCACAAGCACCTACTCATTCACGCTTTGGCCTCTGGGGATTACCATTTATTACAAACCTGATGTTGAAGATATGAAGAATACCAGAGCCCACAGTAAAATGAGCCAGGACAAGAGCAGTGTGCATCGGCAACGCCGCATCTGACCAGGAGGTTGCTTTCCCGCCCATTCCTTATTTGAATTGCGGGGTACTCGACGACGAGCTTTCTGACTTCATACTTCCACACCCACGCTTATGCCGTACACATCATGTGCACAGGAGCATGGAGACCCCTGTGTGCATATATGCTGATCCCTCTGGCAAAAATGGTTCTTTGGATAAAACTTCTCCCATGCGAGCCCCAGGACGCGAGGGAGGTCATATTAGAGAGAAACTCGAGATACTTACCTCGGCTGAGCCTTCAGGCTCCCCTCCTAAGACGGAAGCGAAATGCTCAATCCCACTCCGACGATTTACGCCTAGTGGACGGGTAACATCCGTCGATTTAACGCCCGATGGGGCCTACGTTATTGCCGGCTGCAGCGATGGCACTCTTCGGCTCTACTCGATGCTGCACCCGTCCTGGGGTAGCGAGGGGCTGCTTCTGGGCCAAATTCACGCCAAAGGGCTCATCACTAATCTTATATTTCATGTGGAGGTGGCAGATGACGGGCGTTTCGCATTTGCGGGGGTGCTGCGGGGTTCAGTGGAAATGTTCGCTTATGACCTGACACGGCTGCCCCGAGGGCATTTCGGTGAGGGCCTGGATGCCGGGGGCGAAGAAAACGAAGACGTGAATCTCAGCAAGGCCACTGCAGAATTATTGATCGAATGTCACACCAATTTGGACGCTAAATTGCGAGGGTTTGGAGCGGTGACCCGCGTCGCCCCCACGCGAGCCGCATCTGGTCTCGGTGCTTGGGAGATGGAGTCAGAGGCAGAGCCACCGGAGTATCGTCTCATTTGCGGTCTTGGCATTAAAAATCTTCACATTTGGCGCTTTCAACAAGGTAGTCAGGTGGAATGCTCGGCGCCCACGTGGGAATGCATTTTCGACTTGGCTTCGAACGGTATGAGCATCGAGCTCCTGACAGTGCGAGCGGGAGGATTAGAGGCAGTTTCTAAAAGCTGTGGACAGAACTTACGAGTGTGGGATTTATCCTCTTTGGAAAAAAAGGACAGGGCCCCATACACGGATATCCTTAACACGCAAGATATAAGGGCCGTCTGCGGGGACTATGCCTTCGGCGGCACGTGCCAGCTCTCCTTAGTGCGCTTAGACGCCTGCTGCGAGCTCAACCGCATGGAGCTCCCACTTCCCACAACGGTGAGCTCCAAAGCGCTATCGGGCGGCAAGGCCAAGCGTCGCCAACTTTGCTCGGTGAAAGACGTGGTCGGTACCCAGGGGGAGGGGACGCAGGGGGGTCGAGTCCTGGTCGTCTGCTCCGATGGGGGGGTCCACTGCTATGAGAACACGGGCGCCACCTCGGCAACTGGGAAGCTGGTGCCGGTGCACAGTCTGACCACGGAGGTGGACGAGGATGTGAGCTTCTCCCTCGCTTTGGTGGGGAGCCCCGAGATGGCAACCCCTGTAGTGATGCAGACTCGCTGGCTGGCGGACGAGAACTGCGGCGAGATCACGGTGGAGCCCCTGCGACTGGATCAGGCGAAGGAGGAGGCCGTCGCCGTACGCCGGAGAGCGCTAGGACAATTGGAACCCAACAAAGTCGGCAGGCAAGGATGCAGGGAGGGGGACGGTGGCGTCGCCAAAGGGAAGGGCCCGTCAAAAGGACACAGCCGCGGCAGCATCGGCAACTGCCCGTTAATGAGCCCTGTGGACGCACTGGCCCCCAAGCTACAGAGCGGCGCATCAACAGTGACGCCTTGCAGAGGCAACAACCCCCGCGGTGCACTCCCACAGGGCCCCGCCCCGGCATCGGTCAAAAAGTCGGCTACCAAGAAACGTGCCAAGTCCCTTCCTTCGCATGGGGGTCATGCCAGCGAAAAGCCATCTATTGAGGATTTTAAGGTGGGTGTGGCGGTAAAAGATGCGTCAGAAAGAAGCGCATCGGTAGCTTCATCGGGACTCGTTGCAATCAAGTCCTCAGTGCCGATGCGCCGATCCGCCCTAGTAGCTCCCCCGCTCGCCCACTCACGTGCTGCGGCAGCTTCCGTTAGAGCGCCCCCTTTAGCAGGTGTGCAACCACATCATCCCCTCAAACGCAGGCCTTACGATCCCTTTGCAGCTGTCACACGACCAAAGCGGGGCAAGAACGCGTACGAAGGTCCGTCGAAAGCCATGAGGGATTTGGAGGCCAAACGTGCGGCGGAGGAGGCTGGCAGCAAGACACAAGACTTCTTTCTGGAGCGTGTCGCTCGCGAGGACATCTTGCGCGAGATGCGTATTGCTTCAGTGCTGGAGGCTCGTCGTGAACGCATTCTTGCTACAACAAGCGGTGGGTGGGACGAGCAAACGCCCTCTTTTGTCGAGGCGGGGCCTTTCTCTACTGTCACGACATGGGGGGGTTTGCGTGAAAAGCACCGTCGCGACACAGAGAACTTGAGGCTGAACTTCAAAGCGGAACATGACCGGTAAGTTGATTGAGAGGGCAGTCACGCTGTAACGACAGAGCGCTGAGGAGGTATGATGACATGTATTTTTTGGGTGCAGAAAAATTCTCATAATACCACCATGTCAACACTTATAAGGTTGCGAAGCCGTTTTCTTGAAGCTGTGGAGCGTGAGCGCCTCATGTTTCACATACAGAAGCATGCCTTGCCTTCCTGTGTACGGGACCCTCTCGGCTTCCTGTGGTGGCACAGCTCTCGGCTCCCCATTAAGAAGCAGTGGGGACGTTACAGAGCCTTTCCACAACAATCACTAGAGGTTATGGCCTTGACAGGCCAGCCGGATGTAGCTAATCGCCGATTTTCCCTTTCGGGGGTCATAGCTAGCTTCAAGGCACAAGTCGCTCGCACACTGCGTCGGCAGCAAGTGGAGGCGGACACGCTAGCAGCCTTGCAGTGCATGGACTTGCCATTCATACGCCCCTCGCCCATTCAAGTCTCCTATCCTTATGTAGACGACTTCGCAATTCAAGATCCTGTAGGACAGCACCTGAAGCTGGCAGAGAAGGATGACGATGCTGCAAATGTGTTGCCGGACGCAAACACGACACACGCGTCAGCTGCGAAGGTTGGTGGGGAGAATGTTGCACGGCACCCGGCTTCAGTCACGCCTTCTGTGACCACGTAGGCTTTCCACGAGCACGTACGGAAAAGACTTAGTGAATAGGCTTACTAAACTAAACCGAGTAAGGTATCAAAAAAGTGGGAAAAGCTAGAATATCAGGCATTTTGACGTGAAGAAAAGTTTGCTTTGATTCGTTTTACTGTGAATATTCAGCGTGTCTTCCATGGCATATGGAAGATATTCTGCCGAATTGTTAACCCCTACATCTGGTTTATGGCTCCTTCAGTCTTCTCAGTCACCACCACCTGCGTCGTGAGCACTAGGCTAGCGATAGATGCGGAATTGCTCAGCGCATGGAGCACCACGCTGGCTGAGTCCAGCACACCCGTCTCCAAAAGGTTTTCATATTTCCCCGTGGCCGCGTTCATGCCAAAACCCCACTCCCTTTTCTCCTTGATCTGCTCCAATACCCTACCAGGGTACATGCCCGCGTTCCGCGCAATCTGCTGCACGGGTTCCTCGATTGCTTTCAAGACGATTTCTGCGCCAGCCCTTTCCTCCTTGTCTGGAAATGCAGCAAGGATCTCGTCTCGCATCTCCATGCCTAGATAGACCAGCGCGGAGCCTCCTCCCGGCAACACGCCCATCTCGATCGCAGTACGCACGGAGTTGAGCGCGTCCTCGTATCGTAGCTTTTTGTCCTTCAGCTCCGTCTCGGTCGCCGCCCCGACTTTGATGACGGCCACCCCTCCCGAAAGAGCTGCGACTCGATACTGCAGCTTTTGTTCGTCATAGACGTTGTCGCACGCATCCAGTTCTCGTTTCAAGTTCCCCACGTGCTCGGCGATGATGTCCTCAAATATCTCAGACGTGCGGAGCGTTGTATGCTCCCGCGTCGTCGTTGCCGTCTCAGCCACCCCCAGCATCTCCATGGTCGCCGTTTGCAGCATCATTCCCAGGTCCGAGTCGATGAAGGTGGCCCCAGTGGCCAGGGCGATGTCCTGAAGGAACTGCTTGCGCCGCGCGCCCGCAAAGGGAGCGCGCGCGGAGCAGACGTTCACCAAACCGCGCAACTTGTTGACCACCAGCAGCGATAGCGCTTCGTCCTTGGTCTCCTCGCTGACGATGAGCAAGGACTCCCCCGTTTTGGCTACCTCCTCTAGGATCGGGACTAGCTGGTAGGAGTGGAGGAGCGGGTAGTTGGTCACCAGTACTCGCGGCTTGCGGAGCTCACAAACCATGCGCTCCGTGTCCGTCACAAAGTACGCCGTGTCATAGCCTGAGCGGTCCAGACGCATGCCTGAGCTGACTTCCAATTCGTCCTCCGTGGTGTTGCCGTCCTCGAGCAGGGTGGCGCCTCCAAGTTTGGCATCCAGGTCCACCC